ATAACAGGGAGAACAGGAAGGGAGGACAGAGCAAAAGGAGAGGATATTCAGAGGAAGAGGGGGAAGAGATGACAAAGCGTTCCCAAATAAAGGTCACGATTGCCAGATAAAAGAGGGAGGAAAGAACAACTCATAAGTGTAAAAATAGAGGTTAGAAGAAGTGAGAGAGAAACGAGGGAAGGCGGAAAAATAAGCACAAGGATTCCTGGACAATGATCATATAAAATCTCAGCCAAAAGCATCTGTTTGTCTTTGATCAGAGGTGCACAGGTGTAAAGGGTGATGGGGTTTTCACAAAGGATGCAGCGAGTTCTGAGCTCGCCACCATGTTCACCGATTTTAAAATCTTCAGCGGGCGCAGAGCTGAAATATTCAGAAAAAGTCCAACTCTTCTCATAATTATCATACCTAAGAAGCTTTGCATTGATCTGCAGCTACTGGAAAGAACACACAACAAATCTAAAGTGTGTTTACACACAGCGACCTGACATGTCTACCTGGATGCAAAACTGTGCTGTCATTACAAATGCAAACTTGTATCCTATGACTGAGTCTATCCACACTTACCATCAGCTTTTCTTCCTTTGTGCTTCCCTGCAGGCTGCATGCCTCATTTCTATTGGCTGTGACAGAGTTCCTGAGCTGTGTGCCGTGTGCTTACGCTCCACAGTGACAAACCATGTTTGAACCACATAATGCATGGGAACAAATGAGTTTCAGAGGGCAGGAGCACCATTGTTACATCCTGTGTGAAAGCCCCTTCAGCCTTGCAGTGTTGCATTATGGGTCTGTAGCACTAACGCTGCCAATCTAGAGTTTCTTTAAGTCTGATTATAGTATGTCTGTTGGAGTGAGTCAGCTGTAAATGAATTTCAGAAGGCAAATTTAAACCATTCAAGCTTCTGACTGGTCAGGTTTAAACACAGAGGAAGATGAGGAGTTGGCTTATAATTTGGGATATTACACTGCGTTTCCTTTTATCCATATATGCTCATTCTGTATGGTTTCATCCTGATGTAATACTGAATCTGCTAAATTTAACCACTACTGAAGTGTAGCCATGTAAGCAGCGTAAAGGAAAGAGAACTACTGATGAGGAAACTAGTATCAATGACCTGAAATTTAGACTACCTGAAATTTAAAACACTGCACGTTCCACAGTTACAACAGAACTGCTGCTCTTTCTACTGAACAAGAAGACTTCTAACAAGCCAAGAAAAAGGGAGAAAGTTTGCAGCCAAATCTTAAAAGCAGAAGTGTGTGTCTCCTGAGCACAAATAGAGAGAGGGACATAACGGCTGAAGGCTCTGTCACCCATTCTACTTTCCCACACTCACTCAGGAAATCACAAGGAAGCCTAGACTTGGCAAGACGGTGAGGTGACCCATGTCTGAAGCATTACAATACAGCCAGTGCTTTGAAAATACTGCAGAACCCCAACCTCCAAGAATGGACTTGGGACCAGAAACACGGTCGATGTGTAATCACTTAACAAGCAGACCATTGCAACCAACACTAAAGGAAATCATGTATGAACCTCTTTAATGGTCTACAGGAAGTAAAACCAACCCACATGAAATCACTGCATGCTACGTTACATTTAATATTAAAGGCAATGGCAGCAAAGAAACCCAAGATTGGAAACGAGACAACACATTAAAGAGCTAATCTCATTTTTTCCCCTGTAATTTTCATTATGAAATATTATCAGAGAGAGACAGAAATATAAAGGTCTCAGACCACAGTGGGCACGTGAACCACAGGCACCGATGCCTTCTTCTGCCTTTTTGGTTTAACAGCGAATGAAGATGCCCACACCTGAGTGTTAGTGTCACACTCCATCCCTTGAACTACACACGACCAATCTTTCAATTCATACAGAGATGAAAAGAAAAGAAATAGCTAATAAATTGTGTGAAGAGGAGAGAATCCCTGAGCGCTTTGAAGGATACGTCGAGATAGGGCATACATCTCAATTTGGGAGTGAAATTGGTAGCAGAAATATCACAAGATAAAGAGAAAAGCTATAGTGAAGGATAGCGCGCAAACAGAACGACCTTGATCTCAGAAATGAAAGGAGCAGAAAAGAGATAGGAAGCATCAAAACAAAACAACTCATTAAAATCAGACAAATAACGATGGAGCAGAGAGAGGAGGGACACGGAGGAGGAGACAAAACTGTTTGCATTGGGAGGGACAGGCAACAGGAACTGAAAGAGACCATGTGTTAGTCCGAGGTGCAGAGACAGCGAGTAATAAAGCTTCAAATAGTTTCTTTTCACTGTCAAATAAAAGACAAAAATAGCTTCAGTCAGAATGCTTCTCAAAAAGAAGAAATCAGCTGAGGTTACAGGATCACCTCTGTGCAAAATAATGAAGGATGTTAGTAGTGAGTGAGAATGTATTTAAAGGTACCTTTTGTTTAAAGTCTTCCTAAATGAACTAATAAAAGAAATAACTGCTAAGAACTTATGTTAAAAAATACACACATTTTTCTGTGTTAGCTTAATACACATTTCTAAGTCTGCTGAATACATAGGCAGCATGATGGTGCAGAGTTTAGCACTGCTGCCTCACACAAAGAAGCCTTTGTGGAGGATTTGTTGTCCCTGTGCTTGGTGGCTTTCTCCCCCTGACTGCTTCAGTTCCCTCCCACAGTCCAGAGGCATGAATGTTTAGTGAACTGCTTGCTGAGCCGGCTGTAGGTGAAGCTCTAGGTGGTCAGATCAGAAGTGCTAAAGGTTACTGTTGCATTAATGTACATAATTGCCACCAGAGGTACACAGCTGGCCTCTATGAGTTTCAGGGTACAAATACCCGCCCACTGTCGACAGTCAACCTTGGAAATTATTGACTTAGTTACAAGTGGCTGTACCTGTACAGGTAAAATAAGGTACACTGTGATTGTATGGGTCACACAGATGTTCTGAGAAGTGAAGCTGAAGTGATTGCACGAGTCATGTCACAACCTGTCGCTCATCTAAGAACACGCAGAAGGTCATTAAAAATAATGACATAAAAACGTAAAAATACTTCAGGCATCAGCAGCTGCGCTCTCCTCCGCTACCTCAGCTACCTCCTCTCCTGTAGTATGAGATCACATTCTCCTTCCTAAGGAGTCATTACTAATTAACTCTGAATTGAAGAGATTAGCTCATTCTGGAGAAAAATAATCCCCAATTATTTACTCGGGGCTTAAAGTACGTAAAAATTTTGCGTATTAAAAACTCAAATTATTTAATGTCATTTGGATGAATTCATCAACCCTGGACTTTAGCTTGTATGTGTCTGAGCAAAATTTCTGCTCATCTTCAGTTTTTTGCACATTCAAAACTAAAAACAGTTCAGCTATGGCCCTGACAAGATTTTGCAAATGTTTTTCCCAAAGACAGAAAAGAATCACAAAAAAGAATTAAAAAAGAAATAAAAGACATTTTAAATGGACTAATCTAGTGATGTGCATCACCCGGTCACGTCTTTTTACTTTATTAAGCCTTATGAATGAGCCAGTGTAGCAATGCATCAGTGAGATGCTCACGCTCTAATAAGCAGACTGATAGCAGTAGGTGCATGTTATCAGTTCACAGTGTTATTGTTATAACACTCAAGAAAATATAAAAAAAAGTGACAACACTGATATCATATGAAATCAGTTGAAGTGCTGAAACTTTGTGCAGGTCTGCAGCACCATCATCCGACTGCAGCACCCCACTGAGCCGGCGCTCTTGTGCGTATTTCATCCATATGAGTGACTGCTCATTAAAGTGCATTTTTTATAGGAAGAGCTCGGTGTTCAGTCATGCAAGCTAAATGAACCTTGTCCGCAAGGTTTATTAAAGCAACTTACAGCCTGTCCTCTCCATCACTTTCTCTCCCAGCGCCCGCCTGCCGTACATTTCAATTTCAAACAAACTTCAAATGAAACTCTCTCTTCCCTCATCTCCCTGGCAGCACCATATTTAACTGAATTCTTTTCTTACAGGACAGCAAAAACCATGCGTTGAGCTCCTTGCTATAAGCGTGCATGCACCTGTCCCACCAGCTGTCCTGCTGTCAGATATAGAGTTTGCACCAGAGAAATACTTTGCAGCAGAGCGGCTAACAAAGGCAGGTGAACTGGACCAGTTGTGACCACAGGTGACCACACAGCCAAAGATGTAAAAAGGTACAGTGGTTAGCACTGTGACCTCACTGAAAGAAGGTCCTGGGTTTGAATCACCAGCTGGCAGAGTCTGTGTGTTCCTGCTGCGCTTCCTGTTTGTTCAGTATTGGGTTGTTGGGTGATTGGTTAGTCTAGACTGGCTGTAGGGTGTGACTGTGAATGGTTGTCTGCACTCTGACCTGTCTGGGGTGCACCTCACCTCTTACCCTATATGGAAGCTATGATTGGCTCCACCCGCCTATGACCTTAAATTGGCTAATCAAGAAGGAAAAGAGCTGGAAGGGAAAAAACATGCTGAAATAGATGCTGAAAGGCCGAGTGCCAGTGAAGTTAATGTTAGCACTGATGATTCTCAGGATCCTCAGATAACACTAGCATGATTAAGGTTAAGCAACAGTCTAAAGATGAGTTTCAGTCTAACTGGTTCAGACTGTTTGTGACATCAGATGGTGAAATGAGCTGAGTCTCTGACAGAGGAAGAACAGAGGAGACCGAAGCCTAATAAGTTACAATTTAATTACAGTTAAAAGGAAAACAATCTGAGGTAAGTGCGATGTAAGACTGCTTATTAAACTCACAAATACAATTCCCCACAAAGTACAGAAACTGCCTAAATGGGAGTTATTATTGGCTGGAGTAACAACAAGTGATTTGGTTCTATTTGCCTGATTCAGTTAAACAGAACCAAGTCATGCTAACTTATTATCTGAATATGAGCAGTGTGTAAGAAACCAAATCTATGTTTAGACTGAATGTCAGATGTTAAATGAGCAGAAATGAACTTTCACAGGTTGACTTGTCTAATGCTCTTTTGTATGTGACTAATTCAAATACTCACCAATGACAGGAGCTGCTCCTCGGCTTAAAGTGGAGCTTGGCTCCAGGCACCAGCAACAAATTAAAAAAGAGGGGGAGGGAGGTGGAGTATTGGTTTGGGCTTAGAGATTGGTGGGCTGTGGGTTGGACTGTTTCTTGTGTGTTATTGGGAAATGTCATCGTCATGGGCGGGATTTAAGTCCACTACAGTCGTCCCTCGAAGAGAAGCTCCTCCCATCCCATCTGTCGACGATGACGGTTGGGAGTTTCTATTAATGCCTCCACCTGGAAAAAAGATGGAGTCAAATTATTGAATGACTAAATGCGGCGTCACCTCGCTTTTCTCAGCATCTTACCTTGCCCTGCAGAGGAGGACGATGGAGGCAGAGCAAGGATGTTGGCTCCACCTCCTCCTCCGTTGGTCTGGGAACAGACGTTGGCGTGGCGTGCGACGGCTTTCTGCTTGTAGTGGTTACTGTGCAGCTTGTACTTCATCAGGAGAATGAAGATGAAGACGAGGACAGAGGCCACGATGATCCCCCCAATGATGATGATCATGGTACCACCCAGGAACTAGAGGAAGAGTACAACAATCATGAGCACTCTTAAAATATCTAAGTGCAAGAGGGTGATCCATGATTTCTGAGTAGTTTTACTGAGATGAACCACATTAAAGGTGAAATCACAAAAGAAGCAAAAAGAAATAAAGAACAAAAAGCTGAGGTGTCAAAAAGCAGGAGAAGCAACAAGCTAAGCAACTTCCTCCAGTTAAAATGACACATTTATCGGTTCTTTTCTGATGTACTGCAATCAAAGCAAAACTCTGTTAACATTAACATGAAGAAAAATAAGGTGAAGGATGATATGAAAAAACAAAAAATTTATTAGAAAAAGAAAACAGCAAAATAAAAAAATAACTCAATTAAATGTAATAAATTAAACAAAAATCAAATACAGTTCAGTAATTAAAGAGATCTGTATGTCTTTTATTGTATTTTTCTGTCCTCTGCAATGATCTCATCATCTATTCATTTATTCGGTATTAAGATTTATTACCTAACATTCAAACCAAACCAAGGACATAACAAAAACATTTTTCAAAGGCGTATGTTGGATTTTTCTGAGAACTATCAATAGTCCCCGTCCTTTTAAAGCCAACTAAAAAGGACAGAATGGGAAGAAACTGAACTGATTACTCTTGTTTTCTTTTTAAAGAAATATGTTTATTAAGATTTTCTGATATATAACGGGGAAAAAAGAACAGACAAAGCAACAACAAGGGCAAGAACACACAAACAAGGCAAAAGATTACACTGCAACAACAAAAATATTACTTCAACACCAACAATAAACACAAGTAGAACGCTTGGGTGGCAGACTAAGTTTTTTGCGACCAATCAGAGAGAACTTTATGCTTTGATAAATGATCTAAAACAGGTTGCCACACATCAAAGAACTCACTAAGTTGGTCCTCTAATGTATCTCTCTGCGACAAAGCAGTCAGTTCTGCTAACCACATTTTGATCTGAGGCACAGTGTCAGATTTCCAGAGGGTCATAATCATTTTCTTAGCAACGACCATTACGAATAAAACTGTAGTTTGTGCAGCAAGACTGAGGCGCAGGAGGGAAGAGGAAGATCCAAACAATGCAGTTATTGGGTCCGGCTCTAATATGCAATTGTACATATCGGAGAAACATTTAAACATTTAAAGATATCCATTCACACACTGCGAGCCAGTAATTGTAGAGTTTGGGACATGTCCAAAATAAATGAGTAAGAGAGCCTTCTCCAAGTTTACAACGATCACATGTAGGACTAACAGAAGGAAAAATCCTCGACTCTTATTTTCACTAATTCTAGAGGGTGACGAAAAAATGACATCTTCCTCGGAAACATCGGTGGCCATTTTTATTTTTATTTTTTTTAATTAAAAGTAAGCTTGCTGCTGATTTTGAACCATGTCACAGGTCTTTTGTTGTCTTTTTACATCGTCAAATTCCTAATTTATCAGCTGGAAACAGCGATCCTTTATGAAGAAAAAGATCTGATATCATCTACAACATGTTCCTTTAGTTGCCCATGATTGTGACACATCTACAAGCTACACTGTAACCCATCCTGACCCCTGTTGCTCCTTTCACATGGTCTGATGTATCCAGTTCCATGTTCTGTTGTTATTGGTGTCTTCATTTCTCTGTATTGGCAATCTGCTGCTTTCCAAAAACAGATCCATAAAACAAATACTAATGTTCTCCAATACAGAATTCCTTGAGATGACAAGTTTTGGATCACATGTTGCAGGCAAACTTGAAATGAGCTCCAGATAAAAACAACAAACTACAGTGGTCCTCACTGAATTTCTCAATCATTTACAACATGCATGTTCGTCATTTATCACTGACTAGTGAGACAGTGCTCTGAAGCAGACAGCTCATCAACTATATATGATTCAGCAGAAGTCTGATCAGTTATCAACTGGAGTAACAGCGGATCAGACACCTGCTACACCTCAGCACACTAACCTGGTCTCGTATAGAGTGGCAGCGTCCGTATTCTGACTCCGTTGTGAAGGACACACAGCCCACCAGCTTAGTGCCTGTCAGCGTGGTGATGCCATCATCGTACACAGCCAAAACGCACAGCTCGTAATCCCGTGATGATGCCAGATCACTCAGCTGGAAGTACTTGTGGTTAGCTGGGATCATCCTGAAAGACAGAAAGACAATTTGATTGGTTTTGCCCTGCCTTTGGTGTAAAGAGAGAAAAGATCACAATATTTCTTGTAGCAATTTTAGACTTTTCCTTTGAAATGTTTACCCGTTGTGAGTTACTTTCAAAAGTCAAGGGCCTGGTGTCAGTTAATAGCTCGAAAGATGAAGCAAGAAACTCAGGATTATCACGCTAATTTGAATATACACAGAAAAGACAGCACAGTAAACACCGCTGAGGTCAGTTTAAACACCAAAGGCATCAAAACATTCCTTTCACTTTTCACTACGACGGATAACCAGGCTGAAACTATGAACTGAGCTCTGATGCAAATCCGTTCATTACCACAAAATATTCAAGGTTTTTCTTCCACATGCAGAAGTTTCCCAATAAAACTTATTGTATATTACAAAAATATGTTCACTGTAAATGAGTGGAAAACGACTCAACCTTCCTCACACTGGCAGCCTCACCACCCTCATGTTACATTTGCGCTCCGGTGGAAGTTGAGCCTGAACTTTGGTAAGCATAAAGTCATGAACTTTTATTATCTTTAGTGCAGCTCTCCTGAAAGAAAAGCCTGCACAGTCCAGAGCGTTTTAAAAACCCTCAGGGTAAAAACCAAAAAGAAAAGAGATTGGAACATTTTCCTGTCAAAACTTTGTTAATATCTTTTTTTCCAATGTAATCGATGCCAAACTGATTATTTATTATAATAAACTTAATTAATGTAGGACCTTCAAAAACAGAGTGTACAAAGTAGTTTAACAGAAAAGCAAAGAGAGGAATGCACACAAAGTAAAATAACAGCCACAAAGCCACGAGAGGTGAGAAGCAGAACTTTAAAATGAACTCTAAAAACATCCACGGAGCCAATGATCAGAGTTGATGTGACGCGAAATCAAATAAGGAGCTGAGCTGCTGCCTTATGAACTAATTTGAGGTAAAAATGAACCTCAGTAGTCATGCCTTGAGAAAATGAATGCATGAATGACCTTTTCCAGGTTTGATTCTATGAGTTTAATTCTAGAGATGAATCTTATTTAGATGATACAAGGCTGGATAACCTTTTTGAAATGCATTTTAAAGCCGGCGATTGGTTCAGCATCTCCAATGAATGCTGTATTTGGCTGTAATGGTGGAGAGAGCTGAGAGTTAAGGTAGAGCTTGTTCTTTATTGCAGTTCTACTCTGAAGAATCCAGAAATCCAGATGATCTGGGCCACACGAGAAACTTTTGCTTCCTCAGAAAGGCGTCTACACTCGGCATCAGCGAGTAGACATCATTCAGAGGTGTGAGTCTTTCACATCAAAAAATACAGCTGAGGTGGTTCAGATATCTGGACATTTTGCCTCCTGGATACTTTATTGGTGAGTTGTTTCAGGCATGTTAAACCTGAAAGAAATTTTGGGGCAGACTCGGGACAGACTGGATGTCTTTTGGTTTAGACGTATCTCAGTATCTGAGTGTGACGAGCTGAGTGGGAAGTCTGGGCATCTCTGCTTAGACTGAAGTCCTTGTGACTCAGAGCCAGAGTCAGAAGATAGATGGACAGATTGATGTTTCAAAGGAAAGAGCTAGACCACAGATAATCATTTATCTATGATAAAAAAACAAAAAACATCTCATCTGTAGACACAAACATATAAATTAAGCACTAAACTGCTACTGTGGATTACTAAAGGCCGTCAGGCAGTAGCAGTCCATTCTTAGTACAACAACACCCTGAACTAACAATATATGAGCACACTGTTTATTAATTTTGTGACATTTTAAGTGCTGATGCTACTCTGCTATATGTGGTGGACTGTTGTAATTTATTATTATCTTGTTGTTCCAAAAAAAAGAAAGCGATCACATTCCCCCTATATCAGCTTCTCTTTGGTGGCTATTGTTAAATCCAGAATTTAATTTAAAATCCTTCTCCTTGCACACAAAGTCTTGAATAATAAGGCCCCATTATATCTTAAAGACCTCATAGTACCATATTATCCCAATCGAGCACTTCACTCTGAGATTGCTGGCTTACTTGTGTTTCTGGAGTTTCTGAAAGTAGGATGTGAGGCAGAGATTTCAGCTATCTGAGCCCCCTCCCTCTCCAGCTCTGAGTTTGGATTCAGGACACACACACGCCCTCTTTAGTTTTCAAAGGAGATTTAACATGACCATTTCCTGATAAAGCTTATAGTTAGCACTGGATCAGGTGACCCTAAAGTAGGTCAGCAATGCTGCTGTAGGCTCAGGCTGCTGGAGGATCCTATGATGCACTGAGCGTTTCATCTCCTCTCACCTCTTTTCACTCATATATCACTGATGTATGTCATTAAATTTCGTCTTCTCTCTCCCATAGTCTGTCCTTCCTCCCCATGCTCTCCTTTGCTCTGTTCCTCATGAACACACTGGTTGTTCCATATACTCTTAACGATACCCCCTGGTCAGGTGTGTCAGCTCTATATGTTTCCTGCTTTTGGAAAGCTCAACACTGAAATAAGCACAGCGATGACATTGCAGATCTTTGCTGTCTAATCAACACTTGTTGGTTCTCAGAAACACATCATTGATACGGATCGCAGCTTTTCTGGGTGTAATGATTTCTGTTCCCGATTTGCTGAAGAGAATGAGAAGTAGAAGTCTAACACAATGTTCATGGTTTCCAATAATACGAAAAGCAAAAACTGAGGTAGAAAATTGAAGTAGAGTGAATATACACACAGAAGAAAGACAGACAGCGCACAAGAGGAGAGGGATGTTGCTTTTTCAATTGTCAACCTGAAAATCAAAGGGTATAAAGGAGAACGAGATTAAAGACAAAGGAGAGGTGAGGAAGACGGTAGGGAAGAGAGGAAAGAAGACGATAGGAAACAAACAGAGAGGAAGACACTGAACAGAAGTCATGAGAGAGGAGACAACAGAGAGAAGGAGAAAGGGCTGAGGGAGTGAAATTAAAGAAATGTCACAATGGAGGATGCAGAGACCCAACACAAAGAAAAAAATATAGAAAAAAATATTTTCATGTAGAAATATGAACAGAAGAAGGTCTAGAAATGATAATAAACAACTTTACAGTCTTCAGTCAAATTTAAGGGTTAATTGTTCATTTATAACTTACTTAAAATTAGACAAGAAACAGCTGAAAAGCACACAGGAGTATCAAAAGACTATCAAAAGAAGATCAATAATTTCCAGGATTAGTGATGTCTCTCCAACAAAATCTTTTCTAAAGAAAAGACACTTTTTTAGTAATACTGGACGACTGTTTTGTGAGTGAAGCAGCTGCTGAACTACAAACAGCAGAGCTAGCTGTGGAAATACTAATCCCAGCTGAAATGACTCAAACACTAAAGTTTTTTGGACACAGGTTTGGTTCAAATATTCAGAGATTAGACTTTTACAAGGAGGTAACTCTGAAAATGGCAGCCAATGCAAAACTGCCTAAAACAACATTCTTTTTAATGACCAGCAGGGGGCGATAGCATTGGTTAAAAAAGTGAAAGTGAAACAATACAGAAAAATAACCAGGAAAACGAGGGTGTCATTGCAGTCAAATAAGGAGATGCAGCAGTGTATGTTTTATATCTTAACATTACTAGCCTATGATTGTGGACCATGAATCATAGGCTTTTTTCTCAAGGTACAAAAAATAGGGCGGAGACTATTTAAATCAAGTGTGCAAACTCGTTTCACTCGTCTAATTGTACTAATGTTTGCAACACACAGTTTACTGCTCATTGAGTTTAAATTTAACAATAAAAACAGTGCATTGATTTGGTGGCAACTCCTGACACTGACTTTGGATCCTGCCCTGAAAACGATCAGAACCTGATGGACATCAGGTTCAGGAATTCTTAATTGTGCTGTTTGCTTCTATTCCAATCAGCGCTTTAAGGTTAACAAACCTGCTTTTTTTTTTCTTAATAAAGTTTTTTTCTTTGTTTTTTAACAGTCACTCAACGTTTCATTTCAGCACCATGGACAGCGCACAGAGTTTTCACAGTGACCTCAGCTAACGCAAATGTTTTTAGTGGTGAACTTACACAGATTCAACTGCATGCACCTTGACCCCACACACACACACACACACACACACACACACGAAATCTGTGGTGGTACTGTTATCACCAGTAGCTGCAGAGTATAGAAGTAAACTTTTGTCAGTCAATAATTTCCGCTTTGTTTTATCCCTCAAAGGAATTAAATTCCTCTTAATACAGGAATGCTAAAGAATACAATCTTAAAATACTGTTGCAGGGTTTAGAGTCGTGCATCGGAGCCTGTCAATTACTGAAGCCTGTTTCCATTATAATAACTCTGTCTGCCAGACTGCCACCTTGGACCTACATTTAACATACACGCATACGACTGTGACTTAGAGAAAACTAAAAGATGAATATCATCTTTTAGTCTATGACCCTCCTATAAATTGCGGGGCTCTTGGCAAATCAGACATGTTATATTAAAATGAACTGTTTGCACCTGTGTTTAGAAAACAGCACAACTTTTGTAAATCTAAACACACCTATCTGTGCTATTTGGAGATTGTGCTCACACACTAGTTTGTAGTGTTACATGACTGTTTTTTCCATAGCATCCAAACCAGTGAGAAAAACCAGTCTGTTGTGATTCCCAGGGTCAAATAATGCTATGCCTCTCACCGACACGCTCAGTGTGTCCTTTTGCATTAGCGCTGTGACACACCAGAGGCTATGGTCTGTCATTCCCATCTTGTCACATATGAACACTTAGGACCTCTTGGCAACACTTTCAATGCACAGGAAAAGCTGTTGTGTGAGTACTTTAAGACAAATCACAGTCAGTTCCTGACTGTAACCAAATAGTTTGGGCTTCTAAATCTAACCAAACAACAAGTTAAAAGGAAACAAAAAAGTGAAACAAAGCATTTCCCTTTTTTGAATTATGAATTTATTTGCTCGTCACAGGAGAACCATTATCTTTCAGCGCACACTGCATCCGTGGGAGACCTTGTGAGTATCTCTGCA